CCAAGGAGTGCTAATGGTCTTTTTAACTGTTTATCATTATCATATAGTCTTCTCTCTCTCTGAAATTAGGAGGAACAAATGATTAAGATCTACCGATTTTATGCATTGTTCTGCTTGGACTCTTTCTTCAGGCGTACACTCCTTATTTCAAGTTGTCGCATAGATATAAAATGTATCTATCTTAAATGCATAGAAATCTTAGAATACTACATAACAAGTTGTCTTTAAGCAAGCTGCCAAATGCCGTCCTACGAATCTATTTACTGGCTTCGCAAAAATAATATGCAAAATATAAACTTTTTAATAAAGGGCTCCTCAATTTTATTCAACTTGAGTGCGGAAAATGGATGCTATCACACATTGCAATTAAGATGGTCCTCCTATATGTCTGTTTTAGTTGGTTTGTTAAAATTTAATTACTTATTACTGATGTCAGTTGACTAGCTCTTATACTTCATAAAAAAGCATTTTGAAGATCAACAGTATACAAGTTTTACAAAACGGATAGAAAAGCTGACTCTAGGCTTTAGGCAATCTAAGTCATTTACACAGCTATAATCTAAATTTTATACTTACATGGATCAAGTATCAACGGCGCTGATTGTACTACTAGCTTCAACATAATTTTTGTTTATAATCTACATACTTCTTTATCTCAGGCTAAAGTCGTTAGATATACAACTTTGAATAGTGTTGCTAATCACCTTGTGAAAACGTTTATTTATGTCACTATTACTATCCATTCCATTCTTGGTAAATAGTATTAAGTTTGCAAATTTAGGTTATAATAAATGACTTATATTATCAAATATTTACATTACTAAACTATGAGACACCTTAGGCTTATCCATCTTTACCTTAATACGGCACTTATTAATCGCCTAATTTGGACATAACTTTTTGCTTGACTGCAAAACGACGTTAAATGTTTAAAGTTTTCATTTTTAGTCGCAAACTAGGTTTATATGAATTTTATCGGCGCAAATTTATATTGCTAGATACAAGTTTATATTAATTTTTAAATTAATGAAAATATTTCTGATGTAACTAATAGACCGTTTACTCATTTACTCCTTTTATAGCTTGACTTGATCATAAAGCCTAGCATGGCTTGGAATAAAGACTTATATAAATATCACATTTCTACTCTTAATAACATATTCCTTAGGCTAAATTATTGCATCTATTTGACTTAATTAAAAAATTTTACTTAATGTTTAATAAATTGCCAAATGCATCCTTATAAGCACTTCATAAAGCCTAGGAATTTTGTGATATAGCTTCAAAATAAGTTATTCTATGTGCTGCGGTGTACCGATGCTCAACATGGTCAGAGAAAGGAGACTGAATCACAAATTAGTTTGTATAATTTTTAAACACGTTTTTGCGACTACCATATGATGGATTGATTCATGCTATTTTGTTTAAGGTGATAGTTGAATTCTCCCCCAATGCTATGTGTGGACCTCATCTTTATTTCTGATTTCACATAAGCTTTCATCCAAAAAGTTATACTCATCCATAGTGGGCTACAGTTTAAACCTCACCTCCCAGTGGGACTCGAGCCATGAAAGTGCATTGTATAAGCTTGACAAGTTGTTCACTAGGCCCCACTAGCACGAGTCCCCTTAGGTAACAGAGATAATGAGTTACAATCGAAAACAGAGCATATAAAAGGGATATTGCATTGTAATAGAATTATGGAAGAGTGTAGTGATAAGAGGGAAGATCTAAACCTAAGGAAGTCGACGACCTCGTCAGGCGAAAAACGGTTTTTGTGTTCTTTATACTATTTTGTAGCGGTTTTGCTTAATTAATTATTAACGAAATGGGTGCATGCACTTGTGTGTGCTATCAACATCTGGTTGGCTCCTGAAGGATTACTTGGCCTGATCTAAGCATTAAGATAAATCCAATGGGAAATCTCGTGTGCTAAAATCTTAGCTAATACATTATTATAAAAGCAATCTTGTGACATAAGAAACTATTATGAGCGAGATGCTATGTCCTTCATAGGTAATTTATGTAGTGAGAACAGATTAAGACAACAGCTTACAAGATAAATGTTTGCTTCCTTATCAAGTTGATCCTAAGCCGATCTATTAGGCGAATATTGTAGCATACTAGCGATAAATTGTTGGATCGTCGTTGCTTATTCTAATTGAATGGATTGAGATAATTTAAACAAATCATTAAAGCTTCAAATTTAATGCTGCTAAAAGAAGTTTAAAGCTAAATATTTGTTTTCTTGACGGTTTTATGTCTTATGCTTGATTCCGTTAACTTGTTATCACAAGTTTGCCCTAAAAATGTTCTTATGCGGAAATGCATGTTTTATCAGCAAGTATCTATATTTTCCTTTTAACTTTCTTATTACAATATCTTTACATCTGGTTTATTTTGTTTTATGTATTTTTCTTAGGAAAAACGAATATATGACCTGAAAAAAAAGAATCAAGAATTGGAAAAGTTCAAATTTGTATTAGATTACAAGATAAAGGAGCTAAAAAAGCAAATCGAACCTCGGGAAAACGATATCAAAAACTACAAGGAACAGATTCAAGAAGTTAGTTTATTTGTATATTGTTCGAATTTAATTTGTACTATTCTTATGTACGAAACATCTTTGCATATAGTAACGTGCTTTTAAAATAAATTTATTTAAATAAATGCTCGTCTAATTCCTAGGCCTGTCCTTGGCTTATCCTATAGGTGGATGCAGTTAATTTCGCTGTATCTCTTGCATATCAAGTAGTAATGGCAACATTTTTTACTGAGGTTGAATTCCTTGTTCTAGAGCTATGCAATTGCTAGGGTGCTATATTTATTGTTCCCGAATTTACAAAATTTAAAGATTTAAGATAAGCTGTGAAGCGGTTATAACCTACTCACTAAGAGAAGTAAAATAAATTCCACAATCTATATAAAATAGCCAAGATGATTCTTGGGCAATAATGTTAGATAAAAATGAAAAATCAATCAGTTTTGCATGTTATATATATATAATGGTGGAGTTTAAAGTTTTTATATATTCTTTAATGGAAAATAAAGCCATAACTCTATGGATTTTGCGATTTGAAGTAGGTCAAACTAGGTAGCTACGCTATTATTGTGACACAAATTGAAATGGGGCATTATTTTCAGGATTCCTCTTTGCAAACAAGTATTTTATTCTATTTTAATGATATGTTGTGTCAGATAGTTCTGCTTGCCTATATAATCTTTTGGCTATAACAATCAATACTGCTCTCGACAGTTTTTTTAAAAAGCACTTGGGCATTCACTACAATAGCTTCATAGATGAATAACTATTTAAAGGCATAATACATGGATAGTGAAATGTGTGATTTATTCCAAATACATACATAGTAAACAATGATTGCCTTGGAGATAAAAATAATATCAAGGGAGACTATAATCATTAGGTATAGTTGCCTCTATTTTGGTCACAGTCTCCTTTCGATGTATAGATGTGGTCTTAACTCGTTTTTGCAACGTAGTCGTGTTGTCAGGGCGACTTGATTGGGCGCACCTTGTCCGAAGTCCTCTGTAGCAGCTATCATAATTCCCAGCATCGGGCCATGGTCTTAATACATTCTCAGACACTTCGTCTTCTCTTATCACTTTAACGAGTTGTAGCTTGGCGCTGAGAATGGCAATGCTTACTGACGATGCCGACTACGAGGCCGGCGAGATGTATGAGGATGTACCAATTCCATGAGAATTAGCATAACTAGTTTAGCAGAGGATTTCGGGCAAGGTGCGTCCGATTGAGCCGTCCTGACAACACGACTAAGTTGCGAAAACGAGGTGATATCACATCTTAATTGTTGTTGCTCTCTAGCCGAGGGCCCTGGCGATTCTGTTAATACAATACAACCCTCCGAAAAACGAACATACTATTCGGGCCGCAAATACATTGCAAACATTTTATCGTCAAATATGAATCCATTGTTGGCCCACAGAATAACTACTGAAAAATAATTTATTTTATCAAAAAGAACATAAGAAACCTTTTGTGATCAATTAATCCATTTTTCCGAACTTTGTTACAGTGTTAACTTGTGATGTCCTGTATAATAAGGAAATCTGTCAGATAAATTAAGCTTTATACGAGCTAACCTTGTTCCCCTAATTTGCTCGTTTTGTCAAGGCAACGTAGAGAAGCGCACCTTATCTGGAGTCTATAGTATAATCTACGTCTTCCTGATGATACAAAAAATTGTGAAGCCGGGGTTAACCCAAAACTATACGACGAAAGTAGGCTGAGACCATACTAAAGGTCACACCAGCTTTATCTTTATATCTCATTTATGCGGTCTGTTTGCTCGAATTGCTCGGTGCAATATTACTAAAGATATTTAAATGAGTCCGCTACAATTTGGAAGGAGCATAAGTTGATCCATTAAAATCTTATCAAATTCGTTTTCAACAGCATTTTTATTTTGTGCTTTTTAATTAACTCCCTTCGTATTTACAGTGTATTTGGGAAATTCTCTTAGTTTTGTTTTTAAGTCATCGATACCTAAAAATGACATAAATAAATCAGTAAGAATATTATGTTTCTGCAAATTTATAATAATATAAATAGACATAAAAAATTGAAAAGGCTTATTCTGTCATTTTATTTCAGCCCTCCCCATATGCTCAACCTATATCCACTTGAATTTCGGTCTCATTCATTTGAGATAAGCAGTATTACATTATAAAATCTTTAATAAAGTGTTATAAGTAATTGTAAGATTTTAAACTAAGTTATGTTTTCTAAAGTATCTGATTACATTTCAATTCTTATATTAGAATTATAAAACAAAGATCCATCTGATTACATAAGATTTTAGGCAAAATAACTCTCACATAATTACTATTTATAAGTTATCATGCCTAGTAGGATGTCTGGTAGATTCCTATCACGATTAGATTTTCGCCTGTATGCTCATGCTTAATTTAGAAATCGGTACATGTCCATTTTAACCTGCCCATTGATTTACTGTGCATAGATGGAGGCTGAACTGGAACGCTTCCACAAACAAAACACTCAGCTTGAACTGAGCATTACTGAGCTGAAGCAGAAGCAGAAGGCCACAGAACACGAGCTTCTGGCAGAAAGACAGGCTACTCGGGATGTAGAAGCGCTCGTTCGACGCTTTAAGACTGATCTATACAATTGTGTTGGTTGTATTCAGGATCCAAAGGTTCTCAAAAGCAGTGTGATCGCTCTCTATAAGAAGCATATTCAAGATGATGTGGTAAAATCTTAATTAATTTTTTCTCACACATTTTAGTTTTTTTAATCACTGTTGGTTCTTTGAAGATAAGTGCATCTGTTTTATTAAGAATGGTTAATTTTCTCAGGACGTAATATTTCTTATTTTAAAATAAGAAAAAGTGATCTCAACCAACAATTGGTATTTTAGTTAAAATATGACGGTTACTAAAGGATAGATTGGTTATTGTAAAGGCTGCGCATAAATCTGAATAATAAACAGGCTAAAGTTTTACTAACATCTACTTAAGTTTAGAAACCAATTTATGATATGGCTGTTATTTTGAGGAGAATAATTTAGCTTTCGATCTTTAAGATGAGCTCTAAAAGCTAGGTTACAAGATATATCTCATTCGG